CGGAATCGTCCCTCAAGGAGGAGACTGTTAGAGGCACGCTGTACTCTCTTCGTGTTTTAGACTCTCTCTGCCCTGATCCAGAATTAATTTATCTGTCCAAAACAGCCGTGCCTCCCTGGGCTTTCGTGACTTGGCTCAGGTTAACGTCTAATAAATGTCTGCCGTTTGACGGCGCAAGGAATCGATCTGCACTTTCCACAGACTCCCACTCCCACGCACAGGAACCTGGTGTCTGGCCGTGTTTATGAGGCGGTTTTGCCATTTTGCCGCCGCGAGGGGCCGAGGCGCGTGGGCGAGTTCAGGACCATGGAGAGGGCGCCGCCGCTCGAGCCCGAGGCTCTTCCGCGGCGCGCGCCCTCGGGAGGACGGGGGGGGGAGTTAGGCGGGCGAGGGGTCGCGCGCTGGCTCCTCGCGGTGACGACAGCAGGAGCAGCGCCGCTCGCTCCACGCGAGTCGCGTCCCCCAGCGGGAAGCGCTGTGCGTCTGAGCGAGTGTCCGCTCACGTACAGGACGGCACGGACGGTGCCTCCTTCTGCCCTCTCCTGCACCCGCGCTGCGGGGGGGGGCACTGTGCGCGGGTCCCGACTTCTTTGCCATCGCTCCCACGTGAAGCGGGATCTGACACACGATTCGGCGAGGTGCACTCAATGAAACCTGCCGGCGTCCTCTTCCCTAGACAGTATTCGACGTGGTGACGGTAAAAATGCGCAGCCGAGGTTCCACCTCGACGCAGTTAGGAAGCCAGGGCGTGTTTATCGCCACTGGGGTGTTTGTCTCACGCTCTGCAGGCAGCGGATCTGACGAGTGCCCGACTAGTTGGCAGTGCAATAACCAGGAGTCGAGTAGTTACCCCTCCTCGCTCTCCTCTCCCGTGAGCCTGTAAGCAAAGGGAACCAGACCCCGGGAGAGGTGTCGGGCTCGGCTGCTCCCGCTTCTGTCCCTGTCCCTGTTGCTAGGAGCCGCTCCGGTACCCGTGACAACGGCCTCCCCGCCGGCCGGGCAGCCCCTCTCCGGCCACTACAGGGCTGACCTCAATCAGCACCATCTCGGGCAAGAAAGCCAAGGAGAGCAGGGAGCTGGCGTGAGCTCCAGCGGCAGGGCGGAGACGGAAAGCCCACCGGCCCCGACCCGGGGCACCACCCTAACAGCGGCACCGGTCCCGTGTCCCCAGCCTCACGCCCCGGGGTGGGGGGGGGGGAGAAAGATCCGAAACAAGACCGCTAAGGAAACGAACCCCCGTTGCATTCTTTCATGAATGAGAAATCAGCAGTTAACCACAACAGCAGCCACTAGGGCTGGCAGGCTGCTGTAAAACGGCAAACTTCGTGCACAGCTGCAGGTCTGCTCCTGAGCCCGCAGCCCTGCCGCGCCGTGCGCCTGAGCGGGGTGCTCCGGGTAAGGGCAAGACCGCAGGAAAGACGGTGTTATTTTGGCAAAAGGGGAAAAAAAACAAATTAAAAATACCCCCCCACACACACACACACTCCCCGCAGCCACGCCACAGTCGGTAAAACTCAGGAAAGGATATGGCCACTCGGTTATTCTTTTGGCGTATTTCCGTATGATGTTGTCTTCGCTGAAGATGAAGAGGGATCTGTTGACGGTGAAGCAGTTCTGCTTGACGGGGATGGGGTTGTAAATGGCCATGGTCCTGGCTCTCTGGGCCATCGACTGCTTGTACATCCTCGGGCCGCCCGGCGGGCCTCCCTGCCGGCTGCCTCCTCGCCCAGCGCCCGCTGGACCGCCGCCTCCATAGCGGGTAGGAAGATCGTCTCCGAAGCGAGCCATTCTAGAAACGCACAGATCCGAGAGCTGGAACCCAAACTGACATCAGACAACACGGAGGGAAGAAGCATCACCACACACACACACGCTTGATTCCCGGACAGGAGTTCGCTTCGCACTGCGTGTGCGCGCGTGTGGCATTCAGCGTGATTTTTGGCAAAGAAAAACAAGTCCCTTTTCCGTTGGCTCTACTTTGTGGGGTTTTTTTTAAAAACAGAACTTTCTCGTCCGTGTTTACTTTCATTCCATCCCGTAGACAATACAGGGGGTGGGACGGGGGGGCGAGTTTCAATTTTTCATTTCTCCCCAGTTCAGCTGTAACCCCGTCTCCAGTTAGCAGTCCTGAAAGCCCAGACTAGTGAAGACGGCCCTTGCAGTGCCCTCCCGGTCTGCCTCCGAGAACAGCCCGCGTCCATAAAACATGCTTTTATTCCTCCAAGACACGCCGACCGCCTGAACGCCGTAGCAACGATCGCACGAACAGCGGAGAAGCCGAGATTCCAGACGCCCAAGCCGTTTGCCTATTTGCTGCCGTTTGATCTAAAGTGCATTTTTTTTTTGTCAGCAAATCGGTGTCCCTTCGCATAGGCACAAACACCTCCCCTCAAAAAAAAATCAAAGAAAACAAAAAACAGAGAAAAATCCCAGGGCTGCGTCTCTCTCGCTCGATTGGAACATGAATTGTAACCGATTTCCACGGCGCCGGCCCCTTATGAACCAGCATGTGACTGTAATTAGCCTATCAGCGGAGCAGATCCACCTGTACCGCTATCCCCAGCGTGGTGCCGAGGGAAGAAACTCAGTTGCTCCAGGTCTATTCAGGGCTATTTTTAATCTCACTTCAGCAAACCACGGTGAAAAGTGCCTTTTTTTCCACCCTTTCTGCAGCGCGACCTGTGACGGGCACCATGCGGGTCCGCTCCTCTCCTCGGGGCTCCGGCTCGCGGGAGAAGGGGTGCAGGGGTGCAGGGGTGCAGGAGGGCGGGGGGTAAAAGGGGTGCTCTGCGCGCAGTGTTTCTTTCTTGCATGCGTGTACTCGCCCGCCCGCAGGAGCGCTACACAACCGCAGCCCCGCCGGAGACTCGAACGGGAGCCGCGTCGACGCGCGAGTCCGCCCGCTGGCCAGGCTGCGGCTCACGGCTCCCCGAGCAGCGCCCCGGTCCCGGGGAGCCGGGTTCCCGGGCCGTGACCGCGGAACCACGGGCATGAGCGCGCACTGCCCGCGGGAGAGCGCACCTCGTGTAACTCGCCCGCGCTCCTGCGACTCCGAAACACCCCTCGGGAAGTCGGAGCCGGAGGAAGGATGATGCCGTTTTCATTATATTTAGTTCGTCTCCATAGTTCCTCAGTGTCCTGGACATCTTAAAAAATCCGGCACACTCGACTACTGAATAGCCTTTTCCAAGGGGGGCGACCCTCTACTGAAGTTAGGCTAATAAATCACGTTTCACACTCAGAAAGCCCATGTATATTTTTCTAGGGTACGCTCGACAGTCTGTTCTCTACTGCCTGTTCCTTGTGCTGTTGTCAGCGAGCAGCACTACAGAACTTAAATATTCCCCTTTTCAGTGATGGCACAGAGCGCTGCACTGCAATCCCTCCAGTGGAACTACTGGCAGTGAAAAACGTACCTCAACAACTGCACAGAACTCGAGTCGGCGTCTGCAGCTGACTGCAAGTCAAACTAATCTGGGGGTCTCGGTCCAGCACTGGGGGGTTTTCACCTTTCAAACTGCTGCGTGTAAACGAAGTTTCCTTCGCGCCTTTTCAAACCGATCCAGTTCGGGAAGGAGACCTGGGCTTGGGAACACCGCGGTGCGCCGAGGCTCAGGCCCCCCGAGGCCCCTCCGAGCCGCCTGTGCAGGCTGCAGCCCGGGGTCAGCGGCCGACGGACACACCCGCGCCCCCCCCCCTCCACTCCCCGAGTCCGTCCACCCACTCTTCCCACACAAGAGCAGGTCCTAACTGCCGAAGCCTGGCTGGGGCACTTGCAGCCATGTGCTTCTGAGCTGCACCTCCTCGTGTTCCTCTTGCTCTTCCACTCCCAAGCCCGTGCTCACCCGCACTGACCGGCCATCTTGTGAGGAAGAGCCACCAGAGAGCTGTGCTGCATCACTGCCTGCAGCGGTAAGCTCGCCCAGGACCTGCCTCCCGCCCTGCTCTGAACACAAGCGGCAGCGTCTGGCCTCTGCTGCTACAAGCTCTGCTCTCTGCCCGCCGTCTGTGCCACTGCAGGGACGCGCTGGACAGGCTCGGCCCTGGTGGAGGGTCAAGCCACCTTCACTGGGGGCAGACAGGGCCCCAAACAACAGGCCTGCACGCCAGGCAGGACCCAGGCTTCT